GATCCAAGTCCCTCGCGGTGTATCCGCCAAAAGTCCTCTATATTACTTTGGTTTGTCCATAACAAATGCCACACTAGAACTTCACCAGATCGTCGACCTCGTCCATGGCCTTCGCAAACCAGCGCACAATGTACAGTACATATGCAAATGCGCGTTCTCGCTCGACGTGGATTTTGCGGAGAGCACTACGAAAAGCTTGTGAGGACTCTGTACGATGTGCTTGTTGCAATGGATGAAGTCAACGATATTGACTCCATCTCGTCGGAGTCGTCGTCTGGGCTGAGAGACAGCGATGTGGAATAACACTTTAACTGCATTAAGTAATATTTGCATTTTAAATAAATATGGCGTTTGCTTTCAGAAATCAAATTGTTCTCCACCTTTGAAGTGCAATAATTTCAATTTACCCTACTCTCAGGCCCCTCGATGCGTTCGAAGACTGTAAAGCAGAAATCATGCGTTTTCTAGTGCACAAATCGCCTCTTAATTTGTGTGAAATTTTTTAACACTCCACTTATCGGAATTTATCGGAAGTTATCCCTTACAACTGTTTTTTGTGATTATACTCGTTCGGCCCCGGTGCTTTAGTCTTCGGAGTTGTCTTTGCGCCGTTGATAATGTTTTGCATTGACAATGTGGGAGGCTTCCAGGGGTCGTTTACTAATTTAATTACTTTCACAGGGATATACTACTCTTCTACAAAATTTGCTACCCCCGGAAACTATATTCTACAAATATTATGCAATATAGAGAGGTATCAAAATTCATGAGTCGGCAGTTCATTTTTCTACAGGTACCAAGGACCACCATCGTCGTCCTCCATGTCGCTACTGGACGAGTTAATGCAGCTTCATCTATGGTTGCAGTTAATGCCAACCATATATGATGGATGGCTAATGTCTGGTTGCACTTGTTCATCGGCCACCACGTCAGCTTTATCTGCAGCGTCCTAAAGACCAAGGAAGTCCCGAAACTCAGTGAGTCGTCGTTTCGATACTGCAATACTACGAACGACAGAATGCAACGCCTACCGAAGGTTATGGTGTGATCAGGTAATTTTGTCCCCAATAATTATCAATGTACATTTTCATTGACAAAAATTATATTTTCGCGCCAGCGCGAAGAATCAAAATAATGAGAGTGTTCACATCAAAAATTGAGATGCTCACCGTATCCAATTTCGAAGAAGCCCGAGGCATTAGGTCTCCTAGAGACGATGTCGTGTCGCGAGGTAGTAAAGCACTCGAGGCGCCAAGAAGTACAGTCCGAAGGTGGCACCAACAGCGTCATGTGCTCCTGGCCTTCGAAGGAGACAAGAAACGAAAAAAGGTAGAACCAGGAGGTAGGTATGAGGAGTTACCAGACTCACCAGGTCTCATTGACTTCTTAAACTATATTCGTGACAATGAACGGGCACTAACTACTACTCACATGATCACATGGACCAAGTTGAACCAGATTGGCTCCTGGTCTACCTTGAAACAAAAAAAACACGACCGCATACAGCTCACTGCTCCGAAACGCACTCCATGAGAATGACAGCTGTCCTCACGGTCACAGCTGACGGCGGCAAGATTCTTCTCCTGATCATCATGAAGGGCAAGCCCGGCGGTCGCATTGAGAAGAATGAATTCCCATCCTCTCCAGCTGACCACTTCTACGCTGTTCAGGACAATGCCTGAATGGACAGTCGAGTCTGGGCACAGTACCTTCGTGACGTCTTCGGCGAGCGCATCGAGGGCCCGTCTGTCGTTCTTGTGGACAACTTCGACGCTCATGTGTCCAGTGAGTCATATAAGATCATGTATGACGAATTGGGTACGCACCTCTGCCCTCTGCCCCCGAACTCAACGTCCGTCTGCCAGCCTCTTGACGTCGGTGTGATGGCTCCATTCAAGAGGAACCTTCGAAACCTGTGGCTTTATGAGGAACAAGTGGTTGGAGACGATGAGGATCCCTACTCTCTTTTGGCCAAACAAAAGCGAATGGCCATGGTGAAACGTGCGATTGCTGCCTGGGACTTGGTCATTGAAGACGTCATTCGCGAAAGCTTTGCAAAGGCCATCCTACAATAATTTGTTGCAATTCGATGTTTTTTTGCAAATTTATTTTACATACTTGAACCAAGATAATTATGAATTTTTTACCAAAATATAGTTCGACGCGCCTGGGGCTCACTCAAGACACACAACGTGTTTACCACTGCGCTATCGCGTCGAACGCTCACGCTTACACCGGGACCATTGTATCAATCAAAGAAAAGTTCGAAACCTCCTTTATCTTCTAATGACCTCTACGTTACACTTTGTGTTTTTAGTGAAAGCTATGTATTTGAATCTACGAGAGTTTTATTGCCTCATGAATCAATTAAAATTTCTATCGTCAGCTCTCATAGGCTATAATTTTGGTCGAACTTCGAAGTACATGGTCCAATTAGATTTGTGGAATCATCCTCAGCTCGAAATCAAGGTGGGCGTTGCATTCTGTCGTTCCCAGAACATGTATGGTTTGTTGTAAGCGTTAGGCCTTCATAAGCTGGTTTAAAAGTCAAATTGACAGTTGTTCAAAGTTTTAATGGGTGATATTTTGAAGGTTATTGTGTTTAACATGCATCTGCTCGTACAGCTTGTTTCAGCTCAACGAGCTGCATCGATTGACGTATTCCACGTTTACAAAATCTTACTCCCTCCATATTAATGAGTAAACGACGCTTGTTGATGCCCGCCTCAGAGAATACAAACATGGACGGAGTTGATAATGCTCACACAGTTTGATGGGCCGCGGCAGTCTCCCTGCCATATGAATATCATCCATGTGGAGCTTCCGCTCGGGTGGAATTGCACCGAGGAACTATCCGCGACGTTGCCCTGGTATCGACTCCTACATCGCACGAGAAGTTGATTCCTGAGTATGATCATTGCTTGCAGGCTCAGAGATTTTCAACGAGTACTCTTCGACGTGCATTGGATCTGGTCGCATGAATGGATGACGCTGTGCCGCGGCGGCGTTGTCGAGGGGACCCTAGCTGCGATTCTTCGTTTCTCCCTTTCGCATGAACGGTTGGCCGATGGCCTGGCTGCATGGACGGTACCGTTTATGTCGAACACCAGAAATCCATCGAAGCACTTGCGATCGTCGTTTCAATCAGATTTTCATTACGTATTTCCAAAAACAACTGTATTTTTTACTTCTTTAGCTTAAATTTTTTGCTTAATATCTATTATTTATGCTTCATTAACAGCAAAAGGACAAACAGGTTTAACAAGGATGTGTCATGATTACCGCCACCACTTGAAAAACCTGTCCGATCGAGTTACGTTGCACATCGTACGGCCCGTCCATAATCGCTACGAAGATCGATTCTTCGCTCCACGAAGGTGGTAGCATATGCATGTACAAGGCATTGTACCAACATACTAGCAGTGCAGTGCATGCAAAGACAGTAGCGGCGTATGTCGTCGGCAGATTGCTGCGAGAGGAGAAGCTGGTCTCATCCATGTTGTACACGCGCGAGGGTTTGAAACCGACTAGAGACATGGAGTGCACGAGCTCGTGGTAGAAGACGACAACTGTATCCACGACAACGCTATTGCGTCCCTTGCTCAGGACTTGAGAGTTCACCGTCTTCAACTCAGTATAGCGAAACAAGAAACGCTCATACCACCCAGATGATAGTTGGTACGGCTGGTTGAGATCGTGCACGATGGTCTTCATCTGGCTGGCTTTGTGCATGATGGATTGGCGTCCAACAGGATGCCATCTTGCTGCATAGCTAAGATCCAGGTGACCAAGTCCGCCTCGTACGTTGGTGGCAGGATGGGCTTTGGTCCCATCATTGCTTTGGTCGATGTAGAACCGAATATGGCTCTTGTCACGTGTGTGCGTACGTTCGTTGAGGGATGCCATATGCTATGGCAGCGGATGGAATGTTGTATTGCTTCTTGATCACGTCGCTCGCTGCGGCTGCAATCTCGTCGGGTGTGTACAAGGTTCTTGGCGGCATTTTTCAAGGTTGACACACTTGTGGCCTCTGAATTCTAATGTATATTCCCACCATAAAATTATGATGGATTTAGTTGTTGGAGTAACGTATTTCATCCAATCACAAGATTCTTGCGATTCTATTGGGTGATAGAGCGCGGCTGATCACTAAGAGTTCGGCCGATCACTGAGGGCCGACGTTAGGTATGTTGTAGCGCAACCAGCGGTAATATAGCACCGACACCCGAATAAAGTTGCTGATTGCCTACAAAAACTCGACGCTACTGCGAGTTCCATTAGCGCTTTAGAAGGGACACCTCGTACAACATGGCTGAAGTTGCTCAGCAAAAATAGCTTTACTTGTCAACCTTGCGAAAAAAGCAACACCCCAACCTTGGAGGTCAAGGTAGACCCGTCGCAAAATTTACTGATGACTTGGTGCAATTCATGCGATCTGTACGAAATGAGGGCCACCCCCTCACTACGGCACATATGGTATTGTGGATAAAGCTGGGTCGACCAGTACATAGGCGCGAAGGCTTCAGCAGGCACTGGCTACGCTGGTCTCTTCGGCTTGTACCAACGCTTTGTTCACAGTCATGGATTTACTCGGCGAGTTCCCTGCGTCTCCAAATTGAAGCATATCGAGTTGCTTTTTTGAAGGTGGAAGCATTTGCCGCATCATTTTGGTCGAAGCACATCCACGTCCCATTGCACGACTTCATAAATGTCGACGAGACAGCAGTATAGAACAACATGCCATCACGCCATATTTGGTGAGATTAGCGCCGAAGCTAAGAGTGACTCCTCGGAACTGCATTCCGATCGTATGACGGCGGCGTTGGCCGTATGTGCTGATGGTCTGCGATAAACACTGTCAACTTGAAAAAATGATTCATTTAAGAACGAAACTGCCAATCCTCTTTATTGTGCGTGGGGCGATCGTTGGTCAAATAAAACCCATCGAGTGATCAATCTATACTACGGGTTACGTCTACGCCGTTCAAGAAACGGCATAGATGGACGAAGACGTGTGGCACTTCCACCTAAGGGAGCTCCTTAAGTTTGAGCTTGTCGGCCCGGCGACACTGCTGGTGGATAACTTGTCAGCCCAAGTGTCCGTCCCAGCACGACGGGCCGTGGACGACGAGTTGTGCGCGTTTTTGGTGCCCCTGTCATCAAAGAAGACGAGTGTCCGTCAACTCTTGATGTCGGGGTGATGGGCCCTCAGAACACAAAGATGCATGCCCTATTGTTGCGTGAAGTGCTTGTGATTTGAGCTGCAGAAAATCGAATCAAAATGACCGAACTTACCATCGCGGCGCGGGAATCGGTAAGCGAAGAAACGGTCAGGAAGCCGTTCATGAAAGTCTTGCCCGCCGTGGTATCCGAACCTAAGAGGCATTTGCTCAGCTAACGATAAACATTTCTGGCACGGCTGTCGTACGTAGAGTACTACCCCCAGAACTCGGCAGAGAATTCATTTCGAATCCGGACCAAATTCACCGTAAGCAACTTGACATGGGACACGCTGAGAAAAATGATGACGCTTACCAAAGTTGTGGGACAACTTGAGGATGGACTTAAATCCGCCGCGCTTGGTCGCGGTATAGTCGCGCAGCCATTCCGTATGGTATGTCTTCATGAAGTTGACCATGGTGACGAAGTCAATATGTGCTTCTGGCGGCGAACATATATTAACATTCAAGCAATTCGTTCTTGGTTGGAAACAGGGCTTTGTTCCATGTCTTACCATTGTCGTTTTGCTAACTTTGCCATCAAATCCTTGTGCCACGTGGTGTACCAAAATCTGCACAGAACTTTCGACTGCTGATATTTCGCTCATCAAAAGCTTGGAGCAAGTGACGCTTCGCACCATTTAGTACGACCGCTTGTGTCGTTTGGTCATGGTAGATCAAGATGGCAGTGAGTTGAAACCGTTGAATCTGTGACATGGGTAGATTTGAAATTCAGATTCATGTTGCCCAACTGCAGAGCACTATGTAAATACGTATCTTGGTCGAAATGTCTATAATTAACTGATGCAAGATATTGGCCAATGTATATATATCCAAAATGTAGAGGTGGTCATTTTTTGGTTGGGGGTCGTATTTTTCCGGTTCTCTTTGTAAGTCTTTCGGCAATTGATACATGCTTGAAACGTTGACCACTGTTACCCTTTTTTCAAGGCTATACATCCGCTCACGTGGCCGCTCTTCCAGATTCTACTCACCGTGCTTGGATCGACATTGTATGCATATGCTGCGTCCAGTCCAGTATGCTCCGTATGGCAGTGCAATGTTCTCGACCATTCGTGCAGGGATTTACTCCAGGATGTGAGTCCGCTCGGCGTTGGATAGGTATAATTTTGCGAATTGAAGCATATCAAGAATTCGTGTACGGATAAACCACCATTTATCCGGGAAAGTCGTAACCGGGTACCGGGATACCAGTACAGTTAACGACAGATTTTAAGGGACAGCCGAAGTTTTCAATCAAGTGGAACCTTTTTAACCAATTAAATCTAAGAAGTGAAAATAATGAGATGTAATTGGACAAAAATATAATTTGGCGCGAAATATTTAAAATTCGCACGCTCATGCCCTTGCCAGTCATCACAAGCTCGTCAGTCATTTCCTTTTATGCCCCCAAGGTGCCGTACCAGCATCAGTCCCAGAAGAAACCCAGGCGCCGCTACAACCAGGCGTTAAAGCGCGCAATGGTCACCGTCCTTCGATCCGCTTCCACCCGGACCTTCAGGGAGCAACTGGGATCCCGAAGAGCAATCTTGCTCGTTGGGCGCAGCAGTCGGAAAAGCTCCAGAGCTTTGATGGCAGCGGCAAGTGGTTCAACCTCGACGGTGCCGGCAGGCCAGAAGAGATCCCTGACACTGCTGCCTTGAATGCCTTCATGGTCAAGCTCCGCGAGGCCTAGCGTGCGGTGACCTGCACCCATCTCGTCAACTACCTGAAGCGTTACCATCCAGATTGGCTATCCGCGTACCTCCGAAACAAGACCAATGGCTACCAATCCCTTCTCAAGCTCCTCCAAAGGTTCTGCGCTCGTCACGGATTTTCGCGTCAGAAGCCGTCGCGTTCCAAGACAACTCAGGCCAACCTGGCTGCAATTCGAACTGACTTTGCCGTGGACTTTCACAAGGCGTTTGCTGGCTTTGATCCCGCGGCTGTGATGAACGTGGACGAGACCGGCATGTCTTACGACATGCCTCCACATGCCATTTGGTCGGTCGCGGCGGTACTTCGAAAGTTGCAAGCGGAGAAAAGCACTCATATCGGATGACAGCCGTTCTTGGAGCTCGAGCGAACGGAGAGAAGCTGCCCATCTTGTTCATCATGCGGGGCAAGCAAGGCGGTCCTATCGAAGAAACGGAGTTTGAGTCCTTTCCTTTTGGCCATTTCTATTCTGTCCAAGAACGAGCTTGGATGGATTCTCGAGTCTGGGCCATGTACCTTCGAAAGGTGTTGAAGCCACAGGTGAGAGCCATCTGTGCTCTTAGTTGACAATTTTGACCCGCATGTGAGCAAGGAAGGAATGAAGATTGCCAGTGAAGAGGCGGGTTGCGTTGTGGCGGTCATTCCACCAAACGCGACGAGCACTGTGCAGCCTCTGGATGTCGGGATTATGGTCCCGTTTAAACGTCATTTGCGTAGGCTGTGGTTAGACGAGGATCTTATTGTGGGTAGCGATAGTGAGGAGGATGTAGATCTTATGACTGTCCCAGCACAAAAATAGCGACTGGTTATGATTCACCGTGCCATTAAGGCATGGGCTCTAATTACACCGGAAGAAATTCGACGCAGCTATACTAAAGCAATTCCACGATAGAAACTTCATTCAATATTAATTAGTGTATTTTTTTGCAAAAAGTACGTTCGCATCGCCCGGTACTCGAACCCGGGGCACACTCAAGACACACAACTTGGTTAATCACTGCGCTATCGCGTCAAACGCTTATCGTTCCAGGTGCTCTATTGAACCGGTCAATATAAAATATTCCAGTATTTGAAATTCTTGAAACGAAATTGCTTGTGCTACGTTATTCTGTGATACCATTTCACCATTAAGAGCAATGAAAGGGAGTCCACGTGCATTAGAAAGAGCTTCATTGGCGGGATTTTTTTTATTTTGATATAACCTAAC